AACACACAACGCAATGCAACATATGGGTTGCATTTTGAACTCTGTACCTTTGAGCTTTGAGGATATTCAGTACGTTTGAGAAAAAAAAATGCTTTTTCCAATTTAGGTAAGGTGCACCAAAATCTATGCGGACCATCTACTCTTTACAGAAACCTTTGGCATAGCACTTAAAATAAGTTCTATCGTGTAATTTTATGAGCCAATATCCATGCGTCTACACACAAAGTGGGACATAAGACACACAAATACTGCATAACATGCAACACTGCAGCAGAGCAGAACAAAAAAAAGAGTGAGACTAAATGAAAACCCAGCAGTACAGTATATATTGGGTACAGCTGAAAGAGAAATGTTCTTTAAAAAGGAACCCTGTGGAGTTTTTTTACCACTAGTAGCACTCTGGGGATATATTTTTGTGAGTAGTTTGGTTGGTTCTCACGCACAAGCACATGGTTGACGTGATACACGCTCACGCTGCAGTATATAACTGGTCTATAAGTGGCTGTAACGCACCGAGAAACAGCAATGCACCAGCAAAACCCGGGAGGAAAAAGACTGCCGGCGAGTATACGTAAATGTAAACAATGCAAAAGATAAATAAATAAATACCAAATAGGCTTTGAAAGTGCTTTATCAGGAAGGAAATGCAGTCCACTCATTTGTTAAGCCTCAACGATACAAACAATGTGTTTTGGGGAGTAACACTGGACGTAAACAGAAACATTGTTTACGAGGAAAAACTCCACAGGGCACATTTGTATGCTTCATATGAACGAGTGTTCGGCGTCAATAAAAACCAAGAAATAATCTTTTAATGCATCTGAAAACAAAGCTTCAACAACACACCTCTTAGCACAAGCAATATGTGGACAGTTTCATTCAATTAAAAGCAATTAAAAAAGGGAAATAACTGATTCCTAAAGGACTAACCCTACCACGTCTGTCTGCAGATGTCGCCTCTGTGTGCAGGTCTCTCCTCCAGCTTCCCCTCGCTGCTGCTATTAAATCTACAACTCTTTAAAGCAACACACTGATTCTCCTTGTAGCAGCGTGCGTCTTTCTACGTGTCCCAACTCCAGGGCTCGACCTTCGACCTCCGATACACAACACCAGATTACGTCACCTTTAAATGGATCGACACACACGACACAACTCCTACGTCTTTGTCCAACATCTCCGGGTATCCGACCGACCTGTGTGAGACGTGAACTTACCCCGGGCCGTTGCTGTCCTCCCGCCGGGTGACACCGCCGTCGTTAGCCCCCTCGGTGCCGCCTCTGCTGCCCTGACTCTCCTTGGCCTGGTGCTCCACCACCTCCCCCTCATCCAGGGCATGGTGGAGGCGGTAGTTCACCATCTTCAGCAGCAGGAACATGGCGGCAATCACACCACAGTAGATTCCCACAATCACCATGGTTGGCTGCAGCGCCTGGGATTAGAGACAGAAGCAGAAGTCAACGATGTGGGGTGGAGGGGAACAGGAGGACGCTCACTGCAACACAAAACGCTGCATCCTTCCTGTTGCATTTTATTTAATTTTATTTATTTATCTCAAGGGCAAAGGAGTCTTATTATAGTGTAATATTAATATCACTGCCCAAGTTTGTGCTGTGATTATTTTGTTCTTCTGTGACAATAAAGATGTCTTTCGAAAAAGGAAGGAGAGATGCGTTTTCTCTATTTTGTTTTTTTACTTTTATCCAAAAAAGACAATGAGACAGCAGCGAATGAGTTTATTCATTTTATTGCTGAAGGACATTCGGTCACGAGGGGTGACAGTCGACACACGAAGCGCTGACAGAACTCAAATCTGTGAAGTCAGTTCCTCTAAACCCAGCTGGAAGAAATCTGAATGCACTGTTGTGCCCATTACGCCAATTACTTACGACGCACGCCGGCAGCGTTTTAATAAAAACAAACAACTGCATTCAGTGATCATTTTGCTGCCGAGGAAGGAGGCTTATCACCTGTGTGCGTTTACCACAAAAGGTGTCTGAGCTCCATCTTCTGCGTCTCTGTTGTCCTTGAGATGTCCCGCTGCATCCGTTCGCAGTTATTACAAACAGCAGCAGCACTCAGACCTGTGGCTCAATATAAACCACAGAGCTGACCGGCGTATTTCCACTCCAGTAATAGAGCGGAAACCACAAACCCGATCTGAAACATCAGCTTCTCGATATAGAAGTTAGTATGCTTTGCAAAACAGCCATTTCCTGACCTGAGCACACACACACACACAAAAAAGCTGTATTTTGATAAAACACAGTAAACACTGATGTTTCAACCTGCTCTGCAGCCGATCTGGATTAATTTATGGGGACTTAAACCCATAAATAACATGCACAGGTGGAGTATGACTACAAGGATCTGTCTTTTCTTTTTGGACAGTTCAGAGGGCAAAGCTATGTGTGCAAAAGTAAACACAAACAGGGCAAACAAAGACCTCTGGTGGCAAACAGCAGCCAGGGCAAACTGAATGAGCTCCTTGAACATTAAAGTTGCCAGATTAGTGTTACATCCCTGTCAGCTGTGCTCTTGCAGTCACAGCTGGTAGCTTCTGAAAACTGGTGATACCGCAAATCACTACCGACGGGAGGAAAACAACTAGATAAGAGAGGGGGTGGGGTGTGTGTGTGTGTG